AAATGCATTAGAGATCAGCGGACTAAAATCACCAGCCAGTATAACTTAATTATAAAATGACCGCCACCATTTTGGTCCTATTCGCTGTTAGGAGTGAGCCACGAGGTCACCCACTCTCCAGGGAAGGCAATGACCTGGGCCTGAATGGGGGTGTAGGGAAAGGCAGGGAAAAGATAGGCTTTATTGCAATTTAATGAGAAATCTTACGAAAAGCAGCCTCTACAGGTAGACTGCACAGTAACAGCACTTAGGAAGACAAGGGAGAGAAAACTAAACCAGGAGAGATGGCAGGGAACACAATTGCCATAAGAATTTATCAGAAAGGGGTTTTAAAAGCAGAGAGGAAGATGAGACATAAAAGACCGGGGAGGTCAGCCCCTAACCTGCCCCCGATAATATGCAAAGGGAATAAGGGGCAGCCACCAGGGGACTCTTACCTAACACCTCCTACACATATGCACATGTATGTACGCTCTCACTGTAACATCACTGTATTATTGCACCAGACACATACAAGTTCTCCTTACTTAATCATTAGCTCTAATTTACCTTTCTATAAGGCTGCTCCCCCACTTACCCATTACAAAGGGAAGTAATCAGGGGGCCAGAAAAATGTAGGTAGAGGAGCCCAAGGTTAGGATCAAAGACGGCCAGAGAGGTGACAACCTCAAGGCGCCCACAGAGGAGATAGGAGAAGCCACTGGTCCTAAATAAACAGGAGCTAAGGACAAATTCCCACAGGCATTCACTTCTGGAGTCCCCTACTCCCCCAGATGAGCTGTCTGCTTTTTTATCCATCCTTTTGATACAAGGATGATATAAGAGAAATGTAACTCCCAACCTATGATGTCAGATTCGTCGAGTTCATGTCCCCAAAACTGAAGAATGAATTCTAAGGAACAACAGAGGTCAAAAGTAGGAAATTTTAATGAGACAGATAGCTCATAAGACACAGCAGGGGGCCCAAGTGGGTTGCCAACGAGCCCACTTTTCAAAGGAAGTTTCAGCCATGCTCAGGAGACCCAATGGGAGGCGCCCTGGACCTTGAGGAACATTTTAAATCCATAAAGCCAATGCCCTCAGTGTGTCCGCCATTTTCCTCTCCCCAGCATGGGCTCCCTCAGTCTGGGCCACACCGTTCCCTGATTAAACTTTGCTGCAGTTCCTTTATCATTCATTGCATGTCACGCCCAATTCTTTGTTCATTGTACACAAGAACCAGGAACCTGTCTGGAACCCACTGCCTGTGGTAACCCTTTGAACAAACAGAGCATGTCAGCAGGATGTCCTGTTCTCCATGAAGTTTCAGTCACAGAGACCAAAGAGCATGGCCTTTCCCATCATATCACATCTACAAGTACGTCACCAGAATGTGACATGCATTCAGCCTCACTAAACCGGGTCTCCTGGTAGCAATTTAAGATGTTCACAGATGGAGAAGGAACCCCCTGAGCCCCTGAGCAAGTTGTACCCTTGTGCAAGAAAGCCTCAGCTTTCCTGCCTGTAGAATGAAAACAGATTGCAATCATCCCTTCCTCACAGGCTGCTGTGAGGGTTACCAGTGCGCTAATACACTGGAAATGCCAACTCAAAGAAATACAGGTACCTGTCGTACAATGGGGGATGGGTCACTCCCCTCCACCTGCCTAAGTCTGGACAACACCCAGAGCCAACCCCCTAACCTCCATCCTAAGGCCTACTACCTGGAGGCAAAGACCCCTAGAAATTCCAAAATACCAAACCAGGACGCATGCCTGCCGACAGGACCTACACTAAACACCCTTCCCTTGGAGCCTGCTTACTAAAGGTTCATACATATGGACCCCATCTCATACCTCCAACGACAACAGAGTGAATTATGGGAAATGATAGGCACAGCCGATAGGCTCAGCATCCTATCAATCACTGTCTCTCATGCTCTAAAAGACTCAACGGGCGGTGCCCAAGGCCCAGCCCAACACATCCACTTTCGTGCCTTTTTCCTTCCCACCAGTGCAACCCACTCACCCAAACCTTTAAATTTCTCTCGACCTTTAAATTTCATTCCAGTTAGCTTCTATTTCCTTGCCGTCAGGTGCCACATTCCATGCTTTGTTCCTCAAACACAAGAACCTGAGAATCTGTCCCATGACAACAAAAGCATCTAATTCTATCATTTCAGATCTTGCCCCATGTATTGCTCCATTAACCATTTACTCTAAAACTCTGCAGCTTAATGAAACCACTTAACTACACTCATGGAATCTGTGGGAGAGGACCCGTGACAGGCTGACGGGAGTGTCACTGTTCCAGTGTCCTGGGCCAGAGCTAGAGGTTTGTCATCTGGAAGCAGGGGGCTGTCAGAGGGCTTGTTCTGGAGCTGGGACTAGGAGACTGGGACTAGGCCCACCCATAGCAACTCGGGTAGTGTGGGCTTCCTCACAGCATGGCGGGTGGCTGGCCTTTTGCACAGAAGCTCAGGATGCCTGTGTACCAGGAACCCAGGCTCCGAGTCACACAGTGCTCTTATGTGCCCCCTACTGGTTGAAACCCACCTAGTTTTTTTTTTCTTTTCTTTTCTTTACCTTTCTTTTCTTTTCTCCACCTAGATTTTTAAGAGAACAACAACAAATTTTGTAGCCACAGGGTCAGAATGTTCCCCTTCCTTGACTTTGTGCTCTTTTTGGCCTACCCAAATTCCTAAACTCCCCTAATATTGTTTATCTAAAATGTCTCTAGGCCAGACACCCCATGAGCAAACCCAAACTGGCTAGATCTACAATGACTGTTAGAGTGGCTGCCACACAACCTCTAACTTCATCCTAACCCCATCTGCATGCTAATGACAGCCCCACCCCAGGGCCACGACATTGAGAAGTGCCATGATGATGCCTTGGAACGAACCGTAAGAGGAGCAAAAAGAGATGGCATCTACATTTCTGGAAAATCTCTGTGCATTTCTAGAAGAGACATGATTTCCCCTTCTTCTCCAGAGTATCCTTCCTCCTCATTTCTTTTAGCTTATATCTGTAAACTCCCAACCAACATGGGGTTAAGGAGATGATTTGTGAGTTTAGCTACCGCTTTACTATTCTTGGCCAAGAATAAAAGTCTCCTTCGCTACACAGTCAGTGCCCACCGTGGGGGTAGAAATTGCTAACAAACTATTATTCTCAGAATGGTACAAAAACCCCGGCTCCAAGGGCCCTCTCTGCCAAGGTACCTGCTTGTGACCGTGGCACACAGTTCCTGCTGGACGAACGCACACGTATCTCCCCGTAAAGCTGGGTCTTGGGAGCATAGCTCCCTGCACACGGGTGAGACCCTGCACTCAGACTAGAGAAGTCTGCACCTCAGGGAATCCGAGCGTGCTGGCTGAGTGAGAATTAGCGGTGGTGTCCCCCGCCCACCTGGCCTTTCCTCTAGAAAAGGCTCCTATCTAGCTGCCTACCTGTTTCCACACGGATGCCCAGCATCACGTCACAGGCTCCAGTGTCACAGAACAGCCCTTCCCAGCCCTGAGCTGTGCCTCTTGCAGTGCACAAGTCCTCTCTGCTCCTTCTCCAACCTGCCCACCCTTGGGCAGCCCCACTATTACAGAGCCAAACTCACCCATCTTTCGTCTTCCAGCAGGCTCCCGAGTGGCTCCCTGCCCCTCCTCTTGCTCCTGTAGCCCCTGTAGAGCTCCCCAGTGATTTATGAGTTGAGATAAAACCCACGATCCTGACCCTTCCGAGGCCTTAGAGGACTAGGTCTTAGGCTGTCCCTCCAGAATTCTCCCCTTCCACTCTGTCCACAGCCAGGCTCCAACCCCTCTGGCTTCATTTCTGGTGTTCTGTGTATCCCACCAGCTCATTCTCACCCAGGGCTTCTCCCCTTTCTGCTCCTTCCGCCTGGACCACGAGGCCTCACTCAGCTCAGCTGCCCCCTCCTCAAGCGTCCCCATCACCCATTAGTGGGATGGTTCCTCCGTTCTTGTGCTCTTGATGAAAGGATTCAAGACACAGAAAGCCACTGTGAAAGTAGAGACACAATTTATTACAAAGTGCAAATAATGTGAGGCAACCGTTTAAGAGAAAGGGAGAGCAGATCAAGGTGGCCCTGCACAGAGTGGCGTGGGTCTCCTTTTATGTAAGGACAGTAGCTCTCAGGACTAGGGCACCACGGTAAGGTGATCGTGCATGTTCACATTTTGTCTTCAAAGTTAACTCCAGAACCTCTGTCTCTACTGCTGTGAAAGCTCTTGCTCTTCCCAGGTGATTAGAGTCCTGAAGTGCTCAGTTACACTCCGAGTTAAGTTTTAATTAAATGGGTGTACTGTGGGGAAATCTTGACATGTCACTTTGGGTATCGTCTTCTGTTATCAGCGTGCCACTGGCCTGGGCAGCCAGGGGTGCTTAGTATGCAGCGGCCTGGTTTTAAGAAAACACTGGCCCTGAATTGTGTGGCTTAAGATTTCTCTATGTTGTGGCCAAATATTTTTGCCCTGAGAGCTAACAGATGATTATAAATGTATTATACACCATTTTATTTAACTATAATTGGCAAAGCATGTTTATTTGTGGTGCCTTCTGTCCCTCAGGGCCGCTAATGTTTAACTACCTGCCTAGCATGCCCAGCCCACCCCCCTGCTTTACCTCTCTGCTCAGTAGCTGATATTTTTGTGGCTCCTCTTTTTTTTCCTGGCACTGGAGTACACGCTCCTTAAGAACAAAAACTTACCAACCCACGCAGGCCCTGGGGAGCACCCGCCCAGGTATGTGTGTCCAAACCTTTGTGTGGGATGAATGGGTGGTAAGAATCTGAGTGAGGGAGCGGCTGTGCGTGTGTGTGTGTGTGTGTGTGTGTGTGTACACACAAGCGCGGGAGGTCAGGCAAGTGGGGACCCCTGTGATCGGGGCTCCCCTGCTGCGCCCAAGCCAGGGGCCACGCGCGCTCTTACTCCACCGAGAACTTCGGGCAGGACCGGGAGGACAGCGCGCGACCCTCCCGCCCCGGCTGCCCAGGGTCCCGCCTCCCGGCCGACGTGGCGCTGCAGGCGGGGAGGGGCGCAGCGGGGCGGGCCGGAAAGTTTGTCCGGAGCTGCGGCGACCTCGGAGGGGACTCGGCCGGAGGGGATGCGCGCGCCGCCCCCCGCGCCCAGCACGCACGCCCGCCCGCGGAGCCCGGCTCGCCATGGGTAAGTCCCACGCGGCCGCCCGGACCCCGGCCACCCCGGGCTGTGCCCCGGGCCTCTGGTCCCCACCGCCGGCTCCGCGCCTCCCGCCGGACAGCGAGGCCTGGCGGCGACGGGTCCGGGGCGCGGGCGCCTCCTTCCACCGTCCTGCCCGGGAAGGGAAAGTGGCTGACGGTGAGCGCCTCCGGGGCACCCCCATGGCCCAGCGCCCCGTTTCGGCAGACGAGGAAGTGGCGATTCCCAAAGGGGAGCTCCTTCATCAGCTCGCTCCTGCACTGTGCCGGGCTGCAGTAGGCAAAGAACACACACACACACACACACACACACACACACACACACACACACACACGCTCGCCCTGGTCGCCAGGGGCCAGGGATTGTGCAGCCTGGTGCAAAGCAGCCCTCTGGACTCAGAGAGTTCCAAGGGCCAGTCAGCCTCCGTGCCCCCACCCGCCCCCGCCTGTCTGTAGTGAGCATCTCCCTTGTGCTACATATAGAGGTTGAGGATTCCCAGTGAGCAAGATGGATGTCTCATCTTTGAGGAGCTGGATAAACAAGTGCGTGACTAAGATGCAGGGGAACACAGAAAACGAGGCCCCAGTAGGTGGGTTTGTTAGGCAGGCCGGCAGGGTGGGCTTCCTGGAACTGAACCTTTCCTCAGAAGCAGGCCTTACTGAGTTCTCGGAGAAGAGTTTCCCAACCGCAGAACCACAAGTGCAAAGGCCCTGAGGCAAGAATGAGCTGGTTTGATCCCCAGGCCAGTGATGCCAGAGCCCAGTGGAGCAGGGGCCAGATCCTGCAGGCCCTTGTAGGGTGAGAAACTTGGATCTTATCCCAGATGATGCCCCTGGAAGGTTTTCAACTGGGGTGCAGGTGGGAGGATGTGACCTGAATTATCTCTTGCAACCTCATTCTGTTGTTCCATGCAGAATCATAGGTAACATGGGCTGTAGGGCTAGGCAGGCATATGAGGTAGGTATTATTATCCCATTTGTAGGTAGAGGAAGCTCAGAGAGGTTAAGTGAGTTACCCAAGGTCACACCGCTGTGGAGAAGAGAAGCTGGTGGAGCTCCAACACTAGCTTCAGGCTGAGTCTCTAGCCACTGCACTTCTGACACACAGCAATGGCACAGCCGCTGAACAACTCCAGCTGTGACTCCGCAGTCTGTCTCCTAACATCATCGCACAGCACTTCCAAGCCGGAGGGAGACTGAGTCCCAGAGAGTCAAGCTCTTCCCCAGAATGTTGTTTGGCTCTAGCTCTTTTATTGCCCCTCTCTTTCCCCGCCCCCCGAGTTAATTCAACAGCTACTGTCTATCTAGTGGTGGTGAACCTATGGCACACGTGCCGTAGTGGGCTGTGTGTATTACTGAAAGCTCTAAAAGGTTCGCTATCACCAAAGCATGCACTATGGGTAAAGCAGGGCTGGATGGCGGAGGCGTGCCTGAGTGCCTGCGTGCCTGCGTGCCTGCGTGCCTACGTGCCTGCGTGCCTGCGTGCCTGCGTGCCTGCGTGCCTGCGTACCTATGTGCCTGTGTTTGTGCAGGGACCAAACTGTCCATAGCATCTGCCGTGCCCAGAGTACCCAGACTACACTCTCCGTGGCAGGCCAGGGAGTGGGCTCATCAGCTCCAGCATGGACTGGGCTCCACCCCCACTGCTCCCACTTCATGCGGTCCCCGTAAAAACACCCTTATCCCAGGGGGCCTTTGAGACAGAAGTGAGACAATGAACTTCAAGGGCTCAGCCCACAGCCTCCACTGAATAAGTAGCCAGTTAATGTGAGATTTTATTTTTGATCACATCCGACTTTGGAACTCTGGAGTTCATGAGTTCAAATGCCTACTGTCTCTTACACTCTGTGCCACATTGAGCAAATGTCTTTACATCTCTGGGCCTTGATGTGTTGTTTGTAGAAAAGGGCCTGTGTCATAGGGCTGACACCCAGGAAGGGCAGCTCCCAACATAGAACCAGGCATGGATGCTCAGGTATGGATGTGCATACCTAGAGCTCCCACAGGAGGTGGAGGTCAGCTGAAGCAAAGCGGGAGAATGGACATTTGGGGACCCGAGGCAAGCAGGAGGGCCAACAGGTGCAGAGGCCGAGCAGCCGCGTACAGCACGTGGCGGGAACAGAGGCGTCTCAGGGAAAGGAGTGCTGGTGGGGATGGGCCCAGGCCAAGGCAGCGGGAGGAGCAGCCGAGGACTTCAGCTAGCCAGTAAAGAGCTAAGGAGCCTGGACCTATTGCTTAGGGGTTGGGAGGTGTGGAGAGGCTGAGGAGGGGAGTGTCCTTCCCCAGTCTTTCTGATGGCCCCGACATCTTTGGGGCTGGGACAGTGTGACTTCCCCATACTTTGTTACTTGGTGTCGGAACGCTCAGAGGACCCAAGGAGATTTTCTCAGGTGCAGTCTCCAGGTTAAAGAGCACACATATGAGAGACATCAGTAACAGCGGCAGGCGGCATGGAGCGGAGCAGAGTGCAAGACTCAAGAGCCGCCTGCGGCTTCATTGCACAGTCCTTATCCAGGCTGTCATCACACATTTACCTTCTTGTGTAGTGCCATACCGCGCACACGCAGGGCTGCCTGTGCTGAGTCAGGGTTACATGACTGTGTCCTGCTGTGCGCCTGCACTAGACAAGTGGGGTCACATTCTCAGGTGTCCTTAGGTGTCCCTGAGCTTTGACACAGTCTGAGTGGTTCCCCACACCTGAGGTTTTCATGATAGCCTTTTCCCCTCTGCCTCTGAGCTTCAGCCCTGCTGTGTGCCGTCTCCCCTGTTTAGCACTTGGTGCTGGGAGGTCCCTGAAGCTCATCTCTTTAGTGTATGGGTTTTGGTCTTGATCTTGCTCCCTGGCTGTAAGAATACGCCAAACCTTAGTTTTTCCATCTGCAAAGTAGGCTGAGTGGTTTTTCATTTCATTTTGTTTTGTTTTTTTGTACTGGGAATCGAACTTACGATCTTGTGCTTGCCAGGCAGGCGCTGTGCAGAAGTAGGCTGTAACAGCACCCCCAGGGGTTGTTATGAGGATGGATCCAGAAGTGAGATCTGGAATTATTCCTATTTTACATCCCTCCGCTGTCCTCTCAGCCACCGTGACCCCCAGTCTGTACTGATATGTTTCCCAGCAGAGCCCCCGGGCGGTCAGCTTGGCCTTGGCCTTTGGCTGGACTCCCTTCCACCCCTGTGGGAACCCAGAGATGGCAAACAGTCCTGTGCTTTCGCTTTCATTGTCTCACACAGCCTACAAGGATCATCCCCTGTGGGAATGAACCCCAGGGCCCCAGGGGACAAGGCAAGGGTGGCAAGGGTAGATGGTAGGACATGGGCAGACACTTGTCCAGGATGTGCCTGATGAGGTTGCTCAGGGAATGGGACAGAGAGCAGAAAGAGGGGATGATTCTCCCCCAGCAGGAAGCCTGCCTGTGAGCAGGGAAGGGCAGGAGGCGGGATCAGAGTGAGCGCCACCCTGCATGGCCTGGAGTGGAGCAGGCAGGAGCGTCACCCTCCTCGGGCTGCCCTCTTTGGGTCGAGGCTCGCTGCTCACTACCTGGAGTCAGGACTTGCTTTATCTGGACATCAAGATATTCACTCCTGAGTATCAGCAGCTTCTTGGAGTCATGGTTTGATAAGTAAATTAAATGAAATAAAACACCTAGTTCTTCGATCACATTAACCAGCTTTCAAGTATCCTCATGCAAGCAGTCATATCCAACTGCCCAGATACAGAAGTTTCTAGGCCTGAAGAAAATTATACTGGCTAAGAAGAGAGCTAGGGATATAGCTCAGCAGCACAGTGCCTGCCTGGCAAGCGTGAGGTCATGAGTTCAATTCCTTGTATATCAAAAAAGGAAACAATGTAAACATTGTAATCAGGGTGTGGAGCCACAACAAAAATTGACTCACCAAAAACAAGCATGGGGAGAAAAATATCTTGATAGTGCGCAGTGCAATCAACAGAAGGCACAAAAGTAAGTGGGAGGAGCAGATTCAAGCTTAGCAGTAATCGTCATAAATGAGAAGTCCATGTTTAAAGGAGAAATCCTGGAGTCTGAACTTGGAAGCATCTAGATCTGTGCTGCTTGTTGTAGGACAGGGTGTTGAGATTGAACCCAGGGCCTTTGCACCGAGCTACATCCGCAGCCCTTGTTCCAAAGTACTTTTTGTTTTGTTTTTTTTTGAGACAGGGTCTCACTCAGTCACTAAATTGTCCAGGTGGGCCCGGAACTTGCTAACCCCCTACCTTTGCATTTGGTGTTGTATCATCTGGTCTGTTTCTCCGCAAGATTTGCCATGGCTTTCCCCCCTCTGTATTGAGATGCCTCCTCTGCAGAGGGCCCCTAGCTGACAACCCTATTCAAAACCATACTCCCGTGTCCCTGGCAATCCCTTTTGCTCCTTTATTGTTTCATGACACCTACCACCACCTAAAATTATGTCATATATTTATCATCTGCACATGCCTGGCAGAGTGTCAGGTCCTTGACAACACCCTGCACTGTGGGCCTCTAGAATGCAGCCTGGCATGTGGCAGGTGCCAGGTAAGTAAGTGTGGATGGATGGATGGATGGATGGATGGACAGATGGGTGTGTGGGTATTTGGGTGTACATGAAGGATGGAAAGCAAAGATAGGTGGATAAATTGATGGCTTTGTGGATAGATGGACTCACACATTAACGGGTGATGAACCAATTAAAGGGTGGTAGAATGGGTGGATGGATGAATATGTGGCTGGATACGTGGTTGGATGGACCAACTGATAGATAAGGGGGGATGTAAAAATGGACAGATAAAGGAAGGAAGGAAGCAAACAAGCAATCATGGAAGGGTAAAGGAATGAATCGCTGCACAGTAGATGCTTGGATGGCGGACGTGACAGATGGAGGGAACGCTGGATGCATACTTAGCAAGAAACCGTCTGACTCTGTGCTGCCTTCTCACTCTCCAGGCTGTCCTCCGCCTGTCCTGCCTCTGTGTGCCTCTGTGTCTCTGCTGGGTGGCCTGACCTTTGGCTATGAACTAGCAATCGTATCCGGTGCCCTTTTGCCACTGCAGCTTGACTTTGGGCTGAGCTGCTCGCAGCAGGAACTCCTGGTGGGCAGCCTGCTCCTGGGGGGGCTCCTCGCCTCTCTGGGGGGCGGCTTCCTCATTGACCACTACGGCAGGAAGCGAGCCATCCTGGGAAGCAACGTGGTGCTGCTGGCCGGCAGCCTGAGCCTGGGCCTGGCTGGCTCCCTGCTCTGGCTGGTCCTGGGCCGCCTGGCAGTTGGCCTCGCCGTCTCCCTCTCCTCCATGGCTTGCTGTATCTACGTGTCAGAGCTGGTGGGACCTCGGCAGCGGGGAGTGCTGGTGTCTCTCTACGAGGCAGGCATCACGGTGGGCATCCTGCTCTCCTATGCCTTCAACTACGCCCTGGCCAGTGCCCCCTCGGGCTGGAGGCACATGTTCGGCTGGGCTGCCGCACCTGCTCTCTTGCAATCTCTGGGCCTCCACTTCCTCCCAGCTGGTGCAGAGGAGACTGCAGTGTATAAAGACCTCATCCCGCTCCAGGGAGGGGAAACCACCAAGCACGGACTGGGGAGACCACGCTACACATTTTTGGACCTCTTCAAGGCCCGGGATAACATGCGAGGCCGGACCGCCGTGGGGCTGGGATTGGTGCTTTTCCAGCAGCTAACAGGGCAGCCCAATGTGCTGTGCTACGCCTCCACCATCTTCCATTCAGTCGGCTTTCGTGGAGGGTCCTCCGCTATGCTGGCCTCCGTGGGGCTCGGCGTGGTAAAGGTGGCATCTACTGTGACTGCCATGGGGCTGGTGGACCGTGCTGGCCGCAGAGTCCTGCTGCTAGCTGGCTGCACCCTCATGGCCCTGACAGTCAGTGGCATCGGCCTTGTCAGCTTTGTGGTGCCCATGGACACCGGCCCCAGCTGCCTGGCTATGCCCAATGCCACCCAAAAGACAGGCTTCCCTGGAGGCTCTGGTCTGCCAAAAGAACCATCTCCTATGCCCAGAACCAGGGGGGACCAGTGGGAGCCGGTCTTGTCAACTGCTGGGAAAACCAAGTTGCCTCCTGGAGCCAGAGCTGCCACAGCTACTCCCCTGCCAGCCCTGAGCGTCACCTCCCCGGTGTCCCCCGATTCCACCCCAGAGCACACACTGCTGCGCTGGACAGCGCTAATCTGTCTGATGGCCTTTGTGAGTGCCTTCTCCTTTGGCTTTGGACCAGGTAAGTAGAATTTTTTGCAAGTAAATCTAGATCCTCCTTCCACCCCTGTTACTGGGCAGTTCAAGGCCGGAGGATCAGTCTAGAGGAGCACTAGAAGCAGCTGTCCTAAAGCTTCAGGACTCTTCCCAGGGTGGGGGCCTAACTTCCTGTTAATACATATATATTTTTTAATAATATAAAAGTATATATATCCTGCAAACCATTTAAGCTTCAGGCCCCATACAACCTGGATTTGTTCCTGGATAATTCAACTAGAAGGGCTGAATTGAAAGAAATTTAACATAAAGAGTAAAATCAGCCAACATCCCAGTTTTCCCATGACTGGTCTCATCTCAGCTCTGGAAGTCTGTGTCCCAGGAGACCCCCAAATCTTGAGCAAACACAGGCCATGGTCACCCAAGAGGAACTCTTGCACCACAAAGGGGAATGAAGCTGGGGAGACGTCAGTGTCAGGAGCCTGCTGTTTTCATGGACTCCCACAGCTGGGAGGCCAGCATGAGGCCACTAGTGCCAGGCCCCAGCCCAGAGCCCCTCTGCCCCTCTGTCCTAGTGACCTGGCTGGTCCTCAGTGAGATCTACCCCGGGGAAGTCCGCGGCAGAGCCTTCGCCTTCTGCAACAGCTTCAACTGGGCCACCAACCTCTTCATCAGCCTCTCCTTCCTCGATCTCATTGGTGAGTCTTCTGACCTCATCCCTAGTTCTACCCAAGTCCAGAAACGGTTTCTCCTGGGTAGAGCCAGGATTCTGGTATCAGGTAAGTCATAAGTAATAGAAAACCTAGTGTAGCCAGCTCATGTTGGGAAATAGGGGAATATTCTGTCTTCAATCTCTGACAAGAGGAGGGTGGGAGGTTTCAGGCAGAGCTGATTCTGGGCTCCATTGCAGCTGTCAGCCATCTTTCACTCCTTTCACCCCTGCAGGTCACTTCACACCCAAGCAGATCAGTCCCACAGGACAAGAATGGCTGCCCGCAGGCCTCTCAGTTTAGCAGCCAGGGAAAGAGAGCTCCTTTCTCACTGGCTCCAAGTGGGACAAGCCCTCATTGGCTCAGCAAGATCACATGATCATCCCTGAGCCAATCACAGTGGCTGCTCTGATGCCTAAGCCGCCTCCCCTGCGGGTCCCAAGACATAATACAGTGCTTAAGACTCAAGAGTTCCCTTCTCAGGGACACGGTGGACTCATGGAGATGTAGGGGACGCTGTGGGAGGAAGCTGTCCACCAAAACTGTCTCTGGCATAGTCTTAGGGCCTCTAGACTTCTCCTTGCTGCCCCGGACTTCAGGCATATTTATAAGTGGGGAATGAATGGATGAGAAGGGGAGAGGAGAGGAGCAGAGGGACAGGAGATGGGAGGGAAGCTCATTATCATCCCATTTCACAGGTGGAAAATATCTTTCCAAGTCCAGAAACCTGGCCCTCCTGACTCCCAGCCAGACCTCTGGACAGGCTGCTTGGAGGAGGTGTGGCCAGAGCTGTCCAGGCTGCTAGTGGACAGAACTGCCCCCAAACATAACTCCTGCTTCTGCCACAGCTAAACCCCTGCTTCTGTGGTCTCCTCTCTCCATCTGGTGGCCGCTGACTTCTGAGGACTCGAGGTCATCCCCAGCATGGTCACTGGCACTGAAAGCCCCTCGTGTGGCTCCAGGAGGGGGAGGTGCGGGGCTGCCAGAGCCCCGGCCCGGGACTGACCTCAGCCTCTGTCTTCTCCCCCACCACTCAGACACGGGCCAGAGTGGCTGAAGCTCGGTTTCCTAAGTGACCACTTTGCCAAGTGACCGCTTGCTGGGGCTCCTGAGTGTTATTTTTGAAGCTGGGCTTTGCCAAAGCTGTGCCCCCACTGAGCTGCTTCCTGCCACCCCGAATGTCACGGCCTTAGTTCAGGTGTCCACATTTTGAACACGAGTGATCTTTTCCCTACATCCAGGTTCCCCCTGTTTGTGTTGGTGGGTTTGTGCCCCGGTTCTTTCCCTACCTCTGGGACGGTTGGTCTGATTTGTGACTTCGGGTACTTACTGACAGCTCCTTGGCCATGCTGTGAATCTGTCATCTGGAGCCTTTGAGTAAACTGACTTTCTGACCTGCCAGAAGACCCAGGCTGCAGGCGCTCACGCCTGCCCTCCTGTCCCCAGGTGCCATCGGCTTGTCCTGGATCTTCCTGCTTTACGGGCTGACCGCTGTCCTCGGCCTTGGCTTCATCTACTTCTTCGTTCCTGAAACAAAAGGCCAGTCACTGGCGGAGATAGACCAGCAGTTCCAGAGCAGTCGGTAGGAGGCGGACATGGACGGGTGGGTGTGGGGAAAGCGCTGCCCAGACCTGGGCCAGGGTGTTGGCCTCAGCCCTCATCCTCTCTCGGCTGGACATCTGTTCCCTTTCCCCTCATTTCTTCCTGCCCTGAGTTTTGTCCCCCCAGGGTCTGACAGTTGCTTCCCATTGATTATTTTATGTCTTCCTGCAGCAGCTATTCCTTTGGCTCTAAGGCCCAGCTCATGGAGATTTTAAAATCTCTCAGATTGCAGAGTCAGAGGTCAGAGTACAGGAATCTTTTTTTTGGGCTGGGGGAAGGTCTTTTTGAGACAGGGTCTTACTATGCAGTTCAGGTTGGCTTTGAGCTCACTTTGCAGACTAGACTGATCTTTAACTCAAAAAGATCCTCTTGTCTCAGCCTCCTGAGTGCTGGGATTATAGGCGTGCACCACCTCGCCTGGCAAGAGCTGGGGAATTTTAAAACCATAGGATTTGAGATTCATGGAGCCCCAGAGAAACAAAACTTTATAACTGTGGCCTTTAAAACTTCCATAGAAGCCTGACATGTGGTGCAGTCCTGTAACCTTAGATACTTAGAAAGCTCAGGCAGGAGGATCAGATGTCCAAGGCCAACCTAGGCATGTTAGGGACACCTTGTCTCAAAGCAAAACAAAATGAAACAAAGAAACAAGCAAAAATTATGCACAAAACAATTGTGGATTTAATCCATTTATTCTTTGGCTATTTATTAAGTCCTTACTACAGGCCAGTCATTGTTTGGAGTCTTAGGAAATGTGGCAGAGATTAATAACAAGTTTCTTACAGCAGGGCATGACGGCACATGCCTATAATCCCAGCACTTGGAAGGCTGACGCAGGAGAATTGTTGTGTGCTTGAGGCTGGCCTAGCTACATATTGAGTTTAAGGCCGGCGTGAACTCCATAGAGAGACCCTGCCTCAAAAAACAAGGAAACAAAAATAGAAAGAATAAGGGCTGGGGGTTTAGCTCAGTGGCATAAGTGCCTACCTTGCAAGCAGGCAGTCAAGAGTTCGATCCCCGGTACCGATAAAAAGGAAAAAGACAAAACAAAACAAAACAAAAAAACAAAAGAATAACAAGTTCCTCGTCTTTATGGGACAGAGATTAGGCAAGCCAATAAGTGCATAAACATTTAAGGGTGATATGTAATTAGAAGAAAATGAAACTGAGGGCAGAGGAGACAAGAGTTGTGGCTATATTAGAGTAGGTGGCCAGAGAGACAGGACTCTTTCTGAGGAGGTAAATTTCAGTTAGCGACAAGGAGGAAGCGGCCATGTGAAGGGGAGATGAGGGTGGTTCCAGGTAGAGAGAATGGCAAGTGCAAAGGCCCTGTGGTGGGAGTGTATCTGACATAAGGAACAAGGAACATTGTGGTTGGAACAGAGGGAGGGAGGGAGGACCTGTAGGAAACCAGATCAGACAGATAGGTAGGAAGGAGCTAGTGAGTAAATTCTTTAGGTCAGAGCAGAAATTCAGAATCATAACATTGCAGGGCCTTATACCATTGAATAAGAGCAAACTGGGACCTTTGAAGGGACCTCAGCGTGCTACAGTCTTAAGCACCTCAGCAGGTATTCGGTCCCTTTGTATAATGATTCCCCTTTGCGCTACGGGAGGCCCTGAGAGATTCTTAAATATCATCCTGATCGGGCTGGGGATTTAGCTCAGTGGCATAAGGGCCTGATCCCGGGTACTGATAAAAATGAGAAAGACTATATATATATATATATATATATATATATATATATATATATCATCCTGATCCTGAGTGGCCCCAGCCGCCCTGCACCTTCGCCCCCACCGGGCTCCTGAAGCCACGCAGGCCTGGTGCGGTGTAAAACCTCGAGCCTGGTCCACTCCAGCCTGTGTCTCTGCCAGCTGGACGCCCCAGGTTGTGGGGTGACACACGCCTGTAGCTGCATTAGTTAGGAAACAGCTTTTGTGACTGAGAGCGGCCCCACTGTAGGCGTCCAGGGCAGGGGTGACAGCTGTGCTCGCCGAGGCCACCCAGGCCCTAGAGGCCTTCTGTCTGGTTGCTCCGCCATCTCCTTAGTATTAGTAGTATTAGTATTGCCTTCTCCACGGGGTCCAGCATGTCCCACCACCACGTTCCCGCAGGAGGAAGGGGCAGAAAGGGGAGGGCACCATTATCGAGGGCAAGGCCAGCCAGGCCCCTTTGGACAAAACTTGACTGCGCCTCCCAGGATTCTGACACAGAAGTACTGGGCTGGGACACTTTTCAGCACCAGCTGTTCAGTGCTGTATCACACCACACCAGGGTCCTAGTCCAGGAGAAATTCTGATTGGCCCACCCTATAGCCCCCAACTCGGCCAGGATAGGCAGGGCTTCCTGATAGACAGCCCTGCAAGACCACACCTTGCAGAGGGGACAATTCTCAAGGCTGGGGGACCCATACTGGATGCAGCCAACACCCGCAGCGAGGGGTCCTCTTCTGTTCCTGTCCCAGGGACTCGGGGGTGCTTGTGGGAAGCAGAGACCTACAGCTCAGCCCACCCCCTGGAGCAATACAAGCTAAAAAAAATCCCCCAAATCCTTGTTGTGTGCCAGCTTCTCAAAAGTCCATTCACAAATATTTTTAAGCAGCAGTTAGGAGCTGGCCCTGGAGTAGGCTTTGGGGACAGGCAGTGATCAGGCACGACACCATGTCTGGTTTTAGAGAGAGATTACACTGAGACAGAGCAGGACAGAGAGAGAGAGAGAGAACAGAACATGTAAATACATGCGTCAGATGATTTTGAGCAGTGTTTACGCCATGAAGAAAACGAGTCTGTTTAGTTCACCAGAAAGAGACCGGTGGTGCCAGCAGGTGCCAGCTCTGTAGCTTGGGTGCTAGTGGCCTGTGGGTGCTCTCAAGGACACGCCACAAGCACATGGCATGGGGAGCCTGCTGCATTCACAGCTGGATTCCCCGCCCCACCTCGGGTGCACGATAAATGCAGCTCCCTTGAGCCAAGGAAAGGAGGGCCTCTGAGGGGTGAGAAAACCATTCGTTTCAAGGGCTGGACACGAATGTTCTGGGCAGATAGAAGAACACGAGCAAAGGCCCTGAGGTTGGGTTTTCTGAGAGAAGCCAGAGGTCAATATGGCCAGGCAGTGATGGGCACTTGGCAGAGTAGGACAGTGACACTGGAGAGGGCAGTGGTGAGGGGCTTGGGTCTCCTAAACTGTGATTGGATCTGGATTTTGTGTCTAGCAAATCGGCCCTGGTGTGATGGAAAGTGGGTGGGAGCTGCTGGGTGGTCCTGCTGAGGGGAGATGGTAGTGGGTGCAGAGGCAGGGGGCTGAAGGGACCTCATTCCTGTGAGACTGGGCAAGCTCCCTGCTACCCCCAGGAAAGGCGCCCAAGCCTGCCATCCTGATTCCTGTCACTCTCCCCTGACAGGTTCTCCCTAAACTTTGGCCACAGGCAGAGCTCGCCTGGCGTCCAGTACAGCCGCATCAAGGTCTCCGCGGCCTCCTGAGGTGCCCATCTGCCTGGAAGATGCTGACCATCGGTGTCTGCAGACCATCTGCAGTTCCCTGCTCGCTGGGCCCTGCAGCACAAGGTCCAGGAGGCCTTTGGGAGTGACCACGGTCCCAAAGGAGGGCTTTTCTTTGCTGGGGTCAGAGATAAAAGTCTGAGAAGCCCAAACTCATTTTGAGTGTGAGGCCCTGAGGATCTGTCTGATGCCTCAGTTTCCCCACTGGCTTTACGTATATCTGCAGTATTTTTAATGAGAACATTATGGAGTTCTCCTCACACCACGCACGGATTTCTCAAGCAATCTTTGGGGTACCAATCCTGGCAGGAAGTGTCTCTTAGAATCTCCCTTAAATGCCCCAAAGATACCATATTCTCTGCTGTCTGTTTCCATCTGGCAGGGGGTCTTTAGGCAGAAACCTGCCTTTGGGATCTTAGCTCTCAGAGCTCATCCCTCTAGTTCTTTTGCCAAAGATGTTTATCATTTACTTGAAACTTTGACTGCTCGGCCAGGCTTGAATTCTAGTCCCGGTTCTGCTTGTGTTTCCCCACATGTACAATGAGATTCTTGGGCTGGGCTGTCTGGAGGATTCGAGTTTTAGTTTGAAGGAAAGGAAAACAGGGTTTGGGGGCTGTGCACACTAAGATCTAAGAACTGTCACGTGCATGTGACAAATGCGAGGGTCCTCTTCCAGGACAGGGCAGGAGGCTCTGCTGGACGGAGGGTGTTTGAAGACTGCACACCTTGACGTCAGCAAGGCCTCAGTCTCCATTTCCTCGTTTGCAGAATGGGGACAGAATGGGGGCAGTAGGGCTCCTGGCGATGTGTTTAACCCCCATGTCCCTTGGCCTCTCTGTTTCTAGATACTTTCCTCTCCCAGGATGGGCTAGAGCTGGCTTGTGAGAGCTGATTACTAAATTAAACTGGTTGTTAAACACAACCATTATTGAAAATATATTATTTGAACTTATAATTAAGTGCATTACATAAAAGACAAAGGTAATTAATGCTCAGCACTCGCTGGCTCCTAATTATCTTAATCTGCTTTCCCGTTGTCTGTGTTTAGCAGGTCCCAGAACTGTGTCTGCGTCACACAGGTTAAGAACACTGATCAGGGCTTGATTCTTGTTTTGTTGACTTTCCAGAGTTACTAACAGTGGGATCAAATGTTAGTAATACAAATTAAACTAAAAAATGTGCCATGTTTTAGCTGATACAGTATAAGTAGGAAAAAAACCCTAAGGAATATTTTTCTACTATTTTAAACAGTTGTTCAGTTTAGCAGACACAAGTGCTTAGGTCATCAGAGGAGGAATTCTGAAATACTGGATATCCTAATGGCTTTTTTAAACTTTTAAGTTTCTTTGCGATGCTTGGGGTTGAGCCAAGCACCAGCGAGTGCTGAGCTACATCCCCAGCTCTTGTTTAATTTTCATTTTCAGTCAGGGTCTCGCCAAGCTACCCAGGCCAGCCTTGAACTTGAGATCCTCCTGTCTCAGCCTCCTGTGCAGCTGTGAGTACAGGTGTGCGCTACCAGGCTCAGCTTAACCGTTTGACTTTTCTTGTCTCATTCACGTAAACGAGGGTTTCAGTGAGCTTTCTGGAGGTGTAAGGACCCTGCGTTTTCACTTGTGTCTAATGTTGTCAAATCATGACTGAGTTGCAGGGAGAGCTGGTTTGGATTACAAGCAATTAGCTAAAAATAAATCAGCAAAACGATTCTGTAAGAATTAACTGGGTTATGCAATTTACATAGGAGGAGTTACAATAAAGAGCATTTACAATACAGAGTTTATTGTTATTTGTAAGTTGTGCTTCATGAACTCCTCCTTTATCTTAGTGAAAGCCACCCCTGCTTTTCTCTGGATGGCAGTTAAGTTTCGCCCAGCACTGCTCACGTCTGTGCTGACAGCCCCCTCCATCTCACCGGGACACCAGACCTCTCCCCATTCACTTTCCTCTCCTGCTCCCAAGCTGGCTCTTCCTGTTCTCATCAGCATCCTAATCTCCAGATAGCTAAGGCGCAAGGCAGGAAGCCAGGCGTGGCAGGCAGGGAGGAGCAGGGCGGCTGTGAACGCTGGTGAACCAGGCTCCCTCGAAAAGGGTTGACGCCACTCTTCCAGCTGGCGGCTGCCAGGTGGGCCTGTGGACCCGATGTGGCCTGACCCTTTGAATGTTAGGAAAGCCAGACGCTCAACTTCCTAATTCTTGGGTAGGAGCGCTGAGTCCTGGTCTTGAAGCGAGGGTACGAGCTACAGGCAACACCTGTGGCTAGATCCTGGCTGTTAGTCTGTGCCTCTGTGCCTGGCGGTTTCCCTTTGAGACATTTCTCTCCACTGCATTTCTAAGGAGGTGGCTCCGCGAAGAGCCATGGCCTTGGGGGTCAGTGCCAACCCCAGCGCATCGCCAGCCGTTTGGGTAAGGTGGGTAGGAGACCCCGGAGGGGAAGAAGCTGGGGGAAGACTGCAAACGCATTAGTTAGGTGTGTGACTTGGGATGGCACTGCTGATCCTTCAGAGATGACGCCTGTCAGCCACTGGACAGCATGGTTGGCTCTGTCCCAACAGCACCCTGGACCGCTAGCCCTGGAGGAAGAGGACAGTGAGGACATGGACCAGCTGGAAGATGGAAACGTGGAGGCAGCAGAGGAGACTAAACAGCTGGAACACCAGCCAGGTGCTCAGGGGCCTGTAGGGCCAATCAGAAGAGAGAGCTCACGGGGTGCACGCGGGAGCCGCCCCCTCCCGTCAGCCCCACGGTCCAGTCCAGCAGGCGGTCCCCAAGCCCTGTCTTGTGCACAGTGCTTGTGTTAGGCGTGGCCACCGCTTGGCATCTTCTGGTTATTTGTCCACTGATGCTATGTCTACTACTCACAGAATGTCTTTCTTCTGATTGATTCACTTTTCCGCTTAAATAAATGTATTTTGAAAGGAAACTATATTAATTCACTGTCCCCCCAAGCAGCTATTCATCATTATGTGTCAGGCACTGCCGTACGTTCTGGGGGCACAGCGGGGAACGAGACGAGATCCCTGTGCCCGGGAGCTGACCTTCTGGTGGGAAAGATTCATCAGAGCCAAGGAGACAGGGAGAGGAGAAGTGGGGAGAGAAAAAGAAGGGAGGGAGGAGGGGAAGGAGGACAGAAAGATAAAAGGGAGAGAGGGAGGGAGAGGAGGGAGGACGGTGGATGGGGAGGGGAGGAAGAGAGAGAGAGAGAGAGAGAGAGAGACAGAGAGAGGCCAGCTAGTGAAGATTGGAAGGAAAAGCACCAAACGCCAGAGTCAGCAGGTGGCTGAGGAGTGTCAGCAGACGTGCCACTGTTTGCCCGCGGTGGTCAGGGAGAGCTCCTTGGAGGCGCTGGTATCTGGGCAGGGCTGGAAGGAGCCATGGCAAGATTTGGACAAGAGCATCCCGGGCAGAGGCCACAGCGCGTGCAAAGCCCGACGTTAGGCTGAACTGGGCAGACTGGAGGCCCGGGCAGGCGGCGGAGGGAAGGGAGTCCTGCCGGAGGAAGAGGAGGGAGCGGTCAGCGGGGTCTGATTGCGAAGGGTCTTGCAGCCCTCAGGATTCTATTCTAAATGTTCTGGGGGACCACGGGAGGAGGCAAACAGTGGCTGGCACAACTGGCCCAGAGATGCCAAGTACTCATGGGGTGCTGGTGAGTGCAGGGGGCAGCCGGGTACACAAACGGGAGAAACCAGCCCGATACCGTGAAAGCAGGGCCTTCTCACTCAGACCTCCCTGGGTACCGCTGCCCGCTGGGTCCTGAGCCTGCGGCCCACTGCGCCCTGGCCTAGGCTGCGGAGAGCAGGATGGGATCTGACATTTTATACGGCACTGTGGCCCCTCCACATCCCCAGTCTACTGTGATGCGCCCCCCACTCCAGGTCAGTACAGCTCGAGGGTGAGCAGATGGGACAGTCACAAGCACCCGGGGAGACAGAGGTGTCCTTTGTCACTCTCATAATCATACCTTCCTAGGGGCAAAGCATGAAGCCACTTCCCGCCCTGAGACCGACCAACCCCGGGCAGGTGGCAGGCCCCTGCAGATGGGGCTGATGGCCCGCCTTCTCCTCTCCATCCCGGCTGCCTCTGCCCCATTTCTTCTCCACCCTGAACACCTTCAGCCTCAAACACTACTGCTTTCTGAGCTTTACCTCCACTGCCTGGTGGCCACTCCCCAGTGTTTCTGCTAATGTGCTGATGCTTCCGCGTGTCCACGTTCCCCGACCTCATAAGACCTCTGACCTCTACTGCCAACTACGCTAATCTTTTTTGTGCGTAATGATAGCCCCCAGTATTTAGCTGCTAAAATGCCTGCCCAAAGAAGGCACTACATTTCCCAGACTTCCTTGCAGAATGTGACCAAGTTTAGATCAGTGTGGGTGAGGAGACCACAGGTAGGCAAGCCTTGTGGCAGAGAAGACAGTTCCCCAAATCTCCTTCCCCTTGCTTCTTTTCAGAAGCAGAAATCCCTTTGTTTTAGCTGTCTTCCAGCAAAAGGTGACAGCTCCCAGCTTCCCTTGCAGCAGAGGTGCCACGTGACTGAGTCCTGGCCATTGGCATGGACCAATGTCTGCATTTCTGCGTTATTTCCAAACGGGAAGCTGTTTGCATTAAATAAATTGCTGTGTGCCTTCCTGCAGGTCACAGTGAGTGGGGGGGACCGCCTTCCACCACCAGACAAGGGGATGCCAAGTGATAAGATGTAAGGTGTCCACGCCCATGGAAAACTTGGTGGACTAATTCACCTGTTGGCCCTGTCTCAGTACCCACTGCTGGACCGTCCCCGAGAAAGGCCGTCTTGGTGCAGCTGCCTTCTGTGACAGCAAGTGACCTGTGGCTTAACACATGCACACCTGGGGAAGGGATGGACGGGCTTCCCCTTCCTTCTCCATGCCCGCAGGGTGAGGGGTCATCCTGGGCCATGTGTACAAAAACAGCGTCCCGAGCATAGTGAGGTATCAAGCTAGTAGCATCCTGGGTCCCTGCTGGTGCCCAGCAGAGCTGCCCACAGCCTGGAGCGTTGCCTGAAACAGAAATAACTCCTGCTTGGTTAAGGTATCATTAACTCACATGTGTGCCACTTGAAGCCAGTCAGCCTACCAGTTCGGAGGGCCATTGCCCAAATGACGTCTTACCCTTACGTCTCCCCTCTCCTCCACCCTCCCTTCACTTGCTGGCAGCCCTGCCTGGAGGTGGGCATCCGAGAGGTCTCTCAGAGGGACTAAGACTGCTTTTTCCAGAGTGGGTTGATTCTCACGGGAGTGAATGAGTTCTTACCCCCCAGAGGATGGAATAGTTACTCCAAGACTAGATTGTTATAATCCAAGGCGACCTTGGGCTTGGTATTGTCCCTCACACTCCCACCTGCCCTTCTGCTTTCCCGCCATGATCAGATAGGACATGAGATCCTCTGAGGATGAGGCCGCCTGACCTTGGACTTCCAGTCCCCAGAACCATGAGCTAAGTAAACTTCTTTGCCTTATAACTTATTCAGTCTGTGGCATTTTGTTATAGCAACAGAAAATGAGATTACTCTCAACAGAAGAGGGACTAGATCCAATTCACAATCGCCCTACAACATCCCAGGCACGTGTGTGTTTGGCTCTGCTTCCTCATACTTGGGGTGCTGATATCCACACAAGTTTTATTTCCTGTCTTGGTCATGATAGGATAGAGGGTCACAGGTTTCCTGGCACACAAATGAGCTGCCAGGAGCTGAGGGGTGGGGTACAGATGGGGTACACAGGGAGGAGATGTCCTGCCCAGGAAGTACACAGGGCAGTCAGGAGACCTCCTCAGCTACTTTGCAAGCTTCGTGAACGTGGGCAGTGACTTCACCTCTCTGAGCATCAGTTTCTCACCTGAAAGCTCCCATCTCCAAGGGAAGAGCCCCTAAGATGCTAGACCAAATAAAATAAAATAAAATAAAACCATTCCCAGCTGTAAAGGGCAGGGCACCAGCATAAAGTAGGATCCACCGAAAATGCCCCAGGGGCTGGGCAGGGCAACCCCTCCGCCCGAGGGCTATCCCAGCATCAACTTTGAACCAGGGCCACGTTCAGTTTCCACGCTTGTTCATTTTCCTTTCCAGCTCAAATATTTTCTCATCTGTGGCAGAAGAGGAGATGGAATTTTGATGCGAGACGCAGAATTTCACAGAGCTGCCCTCTGAAAGTATTTCCAGACCCTCACATGCTGGGTCTCGTCCAGAGGAGAGAATAATTTATTGTAGACGGCTTGGCACATGGCTTTGGAGTTTTTACTCCTCGTGAAATTTTGAAGTGGAAAAGCTGACGTTCTGTTTTTAATTGATCCTCACAAGATGAGGAAAATTCCCAAGTAGGTTGTTGAAAATCCAAATCAAATTGAAGTCTAAGATCATAGTTGTTGCTATCTTGCTTTGTATTAAAATTGTATTAAAAATAAAACATTTGTGGATAAATTTACATCTCTGAAAGTACATAATTAACATGCTCTCAAAAGTCATCTGAATTCTTTTTTCTTGTTAAAGTATTTGTCTTTACAATTGTTTTTACACATTATATTAATAGCTTTCACAATCCGTGGGAGGGGTGTGTCTTTCCACTGAGTTTGGCACCACGAAGTTGCTAAACTCTTCCAGATTTGGGGTCTGATGCCGCTCCACTCTCCTGATTTGACGGGCTAGATCGGCGGTTGCTGTGATATGATTTCCATAACTGTTCTGTAGCATGCTATTCTTGCAATAATAAATATATTTTATTGAGTCTGATCAATATGGGGCTGGGGATATGGCTTAGTGGCA